TTATGTGAATTTTAAATTTAATGCTTTTGAATAAAATATTTAACGTTTGAAGAAATAAGGGAAGGAAATATGAGTCGAGTCCACAACGTACGACCAATGCTGGTTGCTATCCAACTGTCCCTTCACTCCTCGCTCCATCTTTTTTGACTGTTCGTCTAAATCTCAATTCATTAATTCCCTTTTATCCAATTCATTTCCATCTAATCCCTAAACCCTTCTTCTTCTTCCTTTCTTCCCTCTGTAACGGCGTCTCCTCTTCCTCTGTTTTGCTTCCCAGAAGCTGCAGGACAATAGATTCAAGTTTGTGGGCTCTCCTTCTTCCATTCCCTTTCGTAGCTCAAGTTTCGAATACCCTTTTCCTCATTCTTTTCTGGGTCTTAACTTGTTTTCCACGCTTTCCTTTCTTCTTCAGGGAATCAGAGCATTTGGGGAACATTCAAAACAGAGCTTCTTTCGTTCCTCTGTTCTTGTTTCAGGTAGCTTTCGTTTCTTTTCTTCTTTTGTTGTGATTAATTGTTTCCCCAATGGGTTTGAATGAATGAATGAATGAATGATCTGGAAATCCAAGAAGGGGGGTTTGTTTATTGTTTAAGTTTAAAGTGATAGGGACAAAGAAAAGATGAATTGCAATTATTATACACTTTCGTTGAGTGAGGATTTCAGTAACTTCAAGATAAGGATAAGTGCATAACCATTTGACATTTGTCCTTATCTTGTTTTTCAATTTTAAATTCTTCTTGTCGGTATGGATTTTTTAACAAAGTTGGATCTGAAAACGACCAATTATTATGTCCTTTTGAAACTGTCGGTTTGAGCTCAACATAATCACTTCTGTTTAGTTGATGTTTAGAAGAAAATATATTGGAATTTGGAACCCAATGGTCGATTTCTTTACTGTTCTTCAGGTTTTTTGTTGTTTATTATGTGTTTGTAGCATTGATTATCATCAATGACTGGGAGCATTTGATTGTTTGCTGTCATGCTGTCGAGTTCTTGCTTGAGTTTGTTAGAGTTGTCATCTGTGGATATGTTGGATTTTCCTCCTACACCGAGAAATGTTCCACGGACGATGACTGCGTCGGGGATAGTATCCGATAAATGTCGAGGGAGGACGATAATAGTGGCGAATTTCCTTCCTGTTCATGCTAAAATGGATCCAGATTCTGGGAGATGGAACTTTAGCTTCGACGACGATTCGCTTTTGCTTCAGCTGAAAGATGGATTCTCATCAGATGTTGATGTTGTTTATGTTGGATCATTGAAGGTTGATGTCAATGTCCAAGAACAAGAAGAGATTTCGCAGAAACTACTGGAGGAATTCAACTGTGTACCGACTTTCGTCCCGACGTCCCTTCAGAAACAGTTCTATCATGGATTCTGTAAACAAAATCTATGGCCACTTTTCCATTACATGATGCCGATTTCGTCTTATCAGGGATCTCGCTTTGATCGACCTCTTTGGTTAGCGTATCTTTCAGCTAACAAAAGGTTTGCTGATAAAGTTATGGAGGTGATCAATTTGGAAGAAGATTATGTATGGATTCATGACTATCACCTTATGGTTCTCCCTACCTTTTTGAGAAAACGTTACAGTCGAATTAAGCTCGGATTCTTTCTTCATAGTCCGTTTCCCTCATCAGAGATCTTCCGAACTCTGCCTGTTAGAGATGAGATTCTGAAAGCGTTACTTAACACGGACCTAATCGGCTTCCATACGTTCAGCTATGCCCATCACTTTCTATCATGTTGTAGTAGACTGCTCGGTTTGGAGTATGAATCGAAACGTGGCTATCTCACGCTTGACTATTTCGGACGTACGATATACATCAAGATTTTGCCTGTTGGAGTTCATATGGGTCGACTCGAATTCGCATTAAATCATTCCCACACTTCAATCAAAGCCAAGGAGATCAAAGAAAACTTCAAAGGAAAGAAGCTTATTCTTGGTGTTGATGATATGGACATATTTAAAGGTATTGGTCTGAAGTTATTAGCTATGGAAAAGCTGTTGAACCAGCATCCGGAGTTGCGGGGCAATGTCGTTCTGGTGCAAATTCTGAATCCTGCACGGAGCAATGGGAACGACGTCCTCGAAGCGAAAAGGGAAACTTACGAGATAACCAAAAGGATTAACAAGGTTTTCGGTTTTCGGGGATATGAACCTGTGATCTTGATTGATCATCCTATTCCTTTCCATGAGAAGATTGCATATTATGTATTAGCAGAGTGCTGCATTGTAAATGCTCTCAGGGATGGTATGAACTTAGTTCCATACGAGTACATTGTTTGTCGACAGGGAACTTCTCAAATCGACGAAGTTTTGGATGTCTCCCCGGATTCACCTCATACCAGCACGATTGTCGTGTCGGAATTCATAGGTTGTTCGCCATCTCTAAGTGGTGCGGTTAGAGTAAACCCTTGGGATTTTGATGCTGTAGCTGAGGCACTTTACGAGGCTGTCGCGATGCCTGCTTTAGAGAAGCAACTAAGGCACGAAAAACATTACCGATACATTAGCTCTCATGACGTTGCTTACTGGGCTCACAGTTTCTCGCAAGATTTAGAGCGAGCATGTCAAGATCACTACAGTAAGCGATGCTGGGGAATCGGACTCGGTTTAGGATTCAGAATTCTGTCACTTTCACCAAGTTTCAGGAAGCTTTCCATTGAACATATTGGCTCTGCATATCGGAGCGCTTCTAGGAGGGCGATATTTTTGGACTACGACGGGACTGTCGTTTCCCAAGCTTCGTTGGTCAAATCCCCGACACCCGAAGTCATTTCTATACTCAACGACCTTTGCAAGGATTCAAACAACACTGTGTTTATAGTTAGTGGCAGGGGGAAAGATACTCTTGGTTCGTGGTTCGATTCGTGTAAGAATCTCGGTCTTGCCGCTGAACATGGATACTATTTGAGGTACCAAACTTAGCTTACCGATTACTTTCCTAGTCGTAGGATGAGTTTCGATTCTCGTTTGAACTCTTGATTTACTTGTAGGTGGAATAGGGACTCTGAATGGGAAGTTAGTACATTAGCTGAAAACTTTGGTTGGAAAAGGATTGCAGAACCTGTGATGAAACTATACACCGAGGCGACCGATGGCTCGTCCATAGAGCCCAAGGACAGTGCCTTAGTATGGCATCATCGAGACGCCGATCCATGTTTCGGTTCATGTCAGGCCATGGAGCTCTTAGATCACCTTGAAAATGTTCTTGCTAACGAACCCGTAGTCGTCAAAAGAGGCCACCAGATCGTCGAAGTGAAACCACAGGTATTTACACGTTCGGCTCACTTCTTCCTTCGTTTCGATTCTCATGGAGGCTGAGCAATCATCTGTTTTCAGGGTGTGACTAAAGGATTAGTTGCTGAAAGAGTTCTTTCCACTATGATCGCCTCTGATAAGGCGCCCGACTTTGTGATGTGCATCGGAGACGATCGATCCGATGAAGACATGTTCAAAAGCATATCATGTACAAGCTATAGCTCATCCCTTGCTGTTCCTCCAAAGATATTTGCCTGTACTGTGGGGCAAAAGCCTAGCAAAGCCAAATACTATTTAGACGATACCACCGACGTTTTGACCGTACTTCAAAGCCTGGCCACCTCTACTAGCGGTAAACTGAGGTCAGGTTTCGAAGCTCGTGTTTTGTTCGAGGATGATGTTTGATGTGGAAGGTTCGGTCTGTCATTTCAAGATGAGAATGCTTGTTTCACTTGATTTCCTTTCCTAGAGATCCTCTAAGGAGTCGGGTTCGTCTCTTACATTCGAGATTACCCGATTCTTTACCGATCACGGGTGGCAATGGATTCACATTCAGGAGATGCCTAGAGTAAGTTGGTTCGGTGGTGTAAATAACCGTTTCACGAAACTCGTTCTTCGCTTCTTCCGGTTTTGAGGGTAGCAGAACAAGATCACAGATATAGTGAAGATACCATCTACAAATAGCCATAGTTCTTACAGGATAACCATTCTTTTTATAAAGTGTTCCTTCATGTTCATGTTCATCTTCTTACTTTAGTTCAATTAAGGATTCGTTCTTCGTATAAGATATAGAACTCGTGTTCGAGTATGAACGGTTCAATCTTCATGCATCTGGACATGTGTTCGAGGTGTGATATCATCATGGATCCAATTCGAGACGGAGGTGCTTCTAGAGATTGAACATCAACTCCGTGCAACACTACTAGAGACCAATAACTCCTTTGAAGTATTCATCTCACGTACTTTTAGAGTTCAACACTCCGGTGCAGCACTCATTTAAGACACTATTAGAGATCAACGCTCATCTACATTACTACTAGAGATCAGCGCTCCCGTCATTTCATAGACTATCAGAGATCAATACGCTCCTTACTACTTATTTCTAGGTACTACTAGAAATCTTCACTCCTTATATATATTGACACATGCACTTGTCTTTATTCGAACAAATTCACAACTAAGAGTCAGTTGATTCCTTAATTGTCCTCAACTTTCAAGATCATAATCATATTATCTCATCTCATTCTACCCATCGAGTTCCTAATCAGGGCCTAGTAATTTGCACGACTAGTGTTGAGGATGGTTGGGAGGGAGTTTCACGTCGGCTAAGTAAGGAGATGATTATGGGTTTATAAGTAAATAATACATCTCCACTAGTAAGAGACCGTTTAGAGAAAGCAAAAGGAAAGTCACGAGAGCTCATGCTCAAAGTGAACAATATTATATCATTGTGGAGGTCGTGATTTCTAACATGGTATCAGAGTCATGCCTTTAACTTGGCCATGCTAATCGAATCCTCAAGTGTCGAATAAAGGGTGTATTTTGTTCAAGAACTCTAGAGAAAGGAGTCGAGTCTTGACTAAGGGGAGAATATTCGAGGGTTTCACGTTGAAGAGGATGATTTTAATTATATAAAATGTTTAAAAGAAATATACCATATAAAAAGAGTAAAATTAATAATTTATTTTATAATTTAGCTAATCAACCAGCGTTGATTAATAAAATTGGGATCCACTTCAATTCAGTGATTGGATACATCGAAAATGGGTCCCACCTTTAGTCTACTTGCGAAACACCAGATTATAATTCCGCTTCCCTCCAAACAACAGCTCAAACGTCCGTGGATATACTCGAATGACCGGTAACTCCCAGTGAATTTGGATTGATTATCGCTTTAAATTCGTCTTGGAGACCGGAAGTAGCCGGTCACACAGGTCACAGCTGGTTTCCGTTTCATTTTGATTGCGCTGTATAAAACTGCTCATAAAACGCATTGTCAAATGCGGTAATGGCGTATGCACATGCAGAAGAGCCTCCTTCTTGTGAAGCGGATAAATCCAATTCTCTGTTGCCCACCACCAGCTGCGGTTGTTCCCGGCTATCGTGCTTCGGATCTCGCCGAACAGCCGCCGGCGGGCCGTCATGGTGGGAGCGGATTAGGGCGTCGGAGGTTCACAACGAGGGGCGCTGGTGGGCGCGAGGCGTTAGGGTTCTTTTGAAGCTCCGAGAGTGGTCGGAGATCGTCGCTGGACCGAGATGGAAGACTTTCATTCGCCGATTCAATCGGAATAGAAGTGGTGCTACTGCTGCTGCTAGGCCTGGAAAATTTCAATACGATCCGTTGAGTTACGCTATGAATTTCGACGAAGGCTCGGGGCAGATAGGGGAATTGGACGACGATATCGATGATTTCAGTGGATTTCGAAACTTCTCTGCTCGCTACGCTTCGATTCCGGGGTCGTTGAAGACTGCAGGAACCACTGTTTTGGGGAAGGATGCTCCTACCGTCGAGTAAAGGTGTGCTATATCTACTAAAATGCGCCCTGTTTATTGTTGTTATTGTCCACACATTGAGCTGGAAGGTTGACCGTGTGACATCACCGGCGGCGCCACCTCCATTAGATTTTTCTTCATAGTCTGAAAAGTAAATACACATGTTTAAGCAAATTTTGGGGATTTTCCTTTTTCCTTCTTCCTAATTGGATTGGTGGCGCATCAGGATCACCGAACAATACAATTAGAGGAATTGTTTATTATAATTATTCTTTTATATTAAACGATACCTTGATAGGATATAATAATATTGATTAGGTGCTTGTATGTTTGAAGTGGGGGTAATAAAAGGCCTTAGAATATATGCATATGGATTGGGATTGTCCTTGTATGAATTGGAAAGTGGGTTATGATACTTGTTTCTTCTTTTTCACTGTTCTGCAATGAGATTGGGTTTTTGTGGGAGAGACAATATAGAAAGAAAGCAGCTTTGAATTTAGGTGGCATGTCCTTTCAGTCTTTTCCATTGGAAGGGAATGGGGAACAAGAGAACCCATTAATAATGATGTTTGGTTCAAGATATTTTAAAGAATCTTCACAGAAAGATAGAAGATTAGGATATACTGCACTAGTTTGGCTTTCAAACAGCTACCTGTTCTTTCTGCTTGATGTTTCTTGAAGTTCATTGCTTTTATGCTAAACAAATATCGTTGGTAGAGCCAAATTCCTCACTGTCCTCTGAAACAATGATCTTTCTGTATAAAGGGAAGCTCGAAAAAATCTCTTAGGGCCTGCAAATGTTCTTCGGAGATTTTTTCGAGTTTCCCGAAAGATTATTGATGAACTCTAGATTGCAGCTGAATCTAGAATTCATCTTTGATCCAGAAATCTTTTTGTATGTTCTTGGCACTTGTTTGAGCTGCAAGAGGAAACTGATTCATCATGAGAAATTTTCAGTACAACACAAAGATTCACAAGGCATGAGTAGCATTCATTCAAAATCCTTCAAAGAATCACCATAGCCATTGTAGACCATTAGCTTTAGAAGAAGTGGATTCAATTTCTCACCTCCCAAACAATACCCAGCAATTTCCAGAATCCTTCAAGCTTGTAGCACTGGTCTTTGTGCCACAGCCAGAATCCCACCCTCCTCTCGGGCATAACCCAAGCTTTGACGCCATCCCAGGACCCCAGACCCCAGGCCCCAGACCCCATTAAAAAGAGCGACAGTCAATGGTCGGGAGAGCCAAAAATTTGTGTACTTGAAACACCTTCATTCCTTTTTACGAATTTTCATCTCTCTCATTCAAACTTCAATTTGCAAAAATACATAATTTTCATATAAATACTCATTTTCAAAACAAAACCTATAGTTATTTTATATATTAAGATACTATTGTTTAGTTTATTTTAAAATAATGTTTCTGTATAATCCAAACAAAAAATTACTCAAAAAAAAAAAAAAAAAAAAGTGATTCCTCTAGTCTCAATCAAGTGTGACTAAAAACCACGTGACAAAAACTTTGGTGTAGCAAAAAAATCAATTATTATTATTATTTTGGTATGTTTTCAAAAGTTAAATCAAGTTTTGAAAACTAAAAAAAGTAACTTTTAAAAAGTTATATCGACTAGTTGAGAGGTCTGAAAGAGAGTGTAGTTCTAGGAGGAATGATACTCATTAGTACCGAATTTTCCGAGACAACATAACAATGTTCCTTTCTTCACGATGGGCTAAGCAAACCAAAGTTTCACAGACTATTTCATTAACTGATAAAATATTGTCAACTTGCTTTGTTTCCCCTACTGGACCGTTTTTACATTTGAAGTCACTTAACACAGCATTGCCATGAAAATCTAAGAGACATCTAAAACTCTCTGTTGGGCATTTTCGATATAATCGTACAGCCAGTACACCTATGGAAAGCCAAACATGTAAATTTAGTTGTTGCTGCTAAATGGAGAAACGATCGATATAATGACTTAGCTTTCAATCATGGATCGGCATGTCGAGTAACATCCCCGTCACTCGAACTGCTTTCGTTATCGCTCATTTCATCCTCTTCTTCACTGTCATCTTCTGCTGTGTTCTCCTTTGCATACTTTTCGCAGTACTCTGTATCCACATGGAAGTAGATATTGAGTTATCATAGAAATGGTGTCAAAGTCGACTATAGACTCGACTGCGACAAATATATACCTTTAACTTTTTCATCGTACTGCTTCCGGTCCTTCATCATAAGCGATGCTGCATCGCCGTTAAGGGGGTCTGAAGGATTGGGATAAAGAAGAAGCTGGGGAAGAAAAACCTCGAAAACGTTTAAAAGATCTGCAGAGGCCAAAAGAAAGTGGTAAGAATCGACACAAACATATGCAAACCCAAATACATGTAAAATGAGGGCCAAGTTTAGTCCTATATTTTGGGAGTCACAATACAGTTCATATGGTACCATGGATCATGAACTTTAAATTATATTTCCAAACACATCAAAATCACATCGGTTGGGAAGGAGAATGAAGCATTCTTTATAAAGGTGTGGAAACCTTCCCCCAACAGACGTGTTGTAAAAACCTTTTAGAGAAACCCGAAGAGGAAAGCCCAAAGAGGACAATATATGCTAGCAGTGGACTTGGGCTGTTACAAATGGTATTAGAGTCAGACATCGGGCAATGTGCCAGTGAGGAGGTTGAGCCCCGAAGGGGGGTGGACACGAGACGGTGTGCCAGCAAGGACGCTGGGTCCCGAAGGAAGGTGGATTGAGGGGTCTCACATCGATTGGAGAAGGGAATGTGTGCCAGCAAGGACGCTGGCCCCGAAGGAGTGGATTGGGTGTGGAAATCTCTCTCTAGCAGATGCGTTTTAAAAACCTTGAAGGGAAGCCTGAAAGGAAAAGCTCAAAGAGGACAATATCTATTAGCGATGGGATTGGGTAGTTACAACTATTGTTTAATATCATCTTATCACAGAACACATAAACAGAAAACACTCGAGTCTAGTAAGGTGTTAATAGAGGTTTAGTGAGGATGGTAGATAATTACCGAACATCGGACTCCAAGACTGATTAATCACATCCAAGCACACAGAACCAGATCTGCAGGTAAAACTCGTACGTAAAATACTTTGCTACGAATTCGTGAAGCATCGAACCGATTTCATTTGATGGTTTAAAAGAGAAAAGATACTTACAGTTCATCAACATTTGGGTGGAATATCTTGTTCACAAAGCCAATTGAAGGAGACTTATATGGATACGCGTCGGGAAGCTCAACACGGATTTTCCAAACACCAGTTTCATATAAGCCTGCAGGGACAACGAAACTTAAGAAAACGCTCTAGATCCAAATGTGGTAAAAAATCGTTCATCGAGTATGAAAACATGCAACTAAACTAGATGCATTTTAAGTGTCCATAAATTACACAGGAAAGCAGTAGAAACACCTCGCTTCAAGGATAAATTTTCAGGGGACTCCAAATAAGATAAAAGAATTGGCTTTAGACTGCCGGCATGTTTGCTAAATTGTTCATTTGCAATCCAATAAGGCTCATACACACCCACAAACAAATAATTGCTATTCCATCGACGACTACGAAATGCATATTTGACAGAGGCGAAAGACGAGCAATACTTTCTTTGGGACCGTGGAACTCCACGTTGAATTCGTTTAGTCCATCGTTTATCATCTCCACGTTGTAGTCACTCATCATCCTGGACAACATAAACCACAAGATCAACCTACAGAAATTTAAGGCCGCCATCATACGATATTAGGAACCTAGAACCTCAGTTCCACATTTTCGAGTAAGAGATAGCATGTGTACAATTGTGGCTTCTATACTATAGCTATACGGCCAAGCCCACCGCTAGCAAATATTGTCTTCTTTGGGCTTCCCCTCAAAATTTAGGGAGAGGTTTCCACACCTTCACAAAGAATGTTTCGTTCTCCTCCCCAATTCATAGCATTAGCCATTCAGTAGGCTTAACAGTGAATGATATTCAAACTCAAACCCGACCACCCCAATGCAGGGCCAGTTCTAGGCCAGCTTGCCTAACATGTTTTCTAGCACATAATAATGACAGGATAAGGTTACTTTTGCTGCAACCATATTTATTTGATCAAATCTCAGCCACAGCTCACTACATTCATCACTACATTTAAGAGCAATAAACACACACCATTGAACTCACCTAGCTTTTAATGATAAATAACACACTTAAGTAATGACCAAACATGCTTAGAAATATTACTATAAAGAAAATCAACAGGTTACTTTCCTCTAACTTATTGCAGTACTAGTAGATCATTTTCGTTTTCAAAATAGCATCTTCTTGGTTGTCGGAAGGCTCATAAACAGGCGTCCATAAAGACGACGTAGAAGAACCACGATAACCAATGACTCAAACAAGAACACGAAATCACGATAAATAACAAAGGCCTCTTACAATTTCATGACATCCATTTCTCTCCTTTTGCTTGGAGAAGACATCTCGAAAGCGCGGTACTTCCAAAATCTGCAACAGACACAGATTCTTGAACTTTAGAAGTTACTAACGGAGTTCACCTTTTAGATGTAAAGAAATGAAGTGAAAAATACATGGGAATGAGAATGATTAAGAATAAACCTCATAATATTGAAGACACTAGCTAATACACTATGCAAGGCCGAAGCCTAACCATGAGCAGTGAATGAATCAACACAAAAGTTACCAGTTTCAACAAATGCCAGAAAAGCATCTGATATCATTGAAATGTTGCATTTCTAATTCAAAACAAGCCAGCTTCTAAAGTTCATGTGCCAAACATCAAACAATAGAAAACGTGAAGATTAGGTACCAACTGGTTCAACAATTACCACATTGTTCTTGTTCATAACCACTCACCACTAAATAAAACAAGTGATACTAGCCAAACAACTAATAATGATGAAGAACGAGGAATTCCTGGATCAGGAACAAGGCCTGGTGGGTGATCAAAATTTGATCAGACTAGATAATGTCTGGTGGGTTTGAATATGATCGTCCACTAACAAAACCAGTTTGCATGATCCATTTCTCTCTCATTTATAAGTCGACGAACCCAGACAGAAGAATTGATATAAACATGAAGATCTGTGGGTAAAATTCTCAAAAGTTTAGATAAACATAAATGACACAGATGAGTACCTCAGAAGAAGCAGAGAAATTAGGCAGTGGGTAATGGAGAATCGTTGGAAGCGAACGCAAATTGGGAAGGGAAGAAAGGGAGGGGGAGGGAGAGAATATATATGAAATTGGATTGGGGGAATGAAAGTGGAGGAAGAATTGAGATGTAAATGATGGAAAAAGGAATCGGGTACGTGGCAGAGTGAAGGTTCTGTGGGGGTTATGGTTACAATTTTTGAGTGTTTCCTGATTGCCATTTCAGCCCCCATTGGTTTTCTCGAGTTTGAAAGTGGGATTTGGCATGGGCGTCCAAAGCTTCACTGTCCACCATGACCGCCATTAACGTAGAAATTAGGTTTTGTTTTAGCCGCTTGGACAAGAAAGCTACCCATTATGGCAACGTTGCGTGGGTTCGGAAATTGAGCCATTCAATAACGCGCGAGATGCTGCAGATGATCATTCATTCATCCATCCATCTAAAACTAATTGTTGAAAAAAATTAAAAACAAACTTTCCTGTTAATACATACAAAATTCTAAATTTTTCTTTAAACTTATTTAAATTTATGCTACACCCTTCTTACAAATTAATAAAAACACTATTTAAATTTTTATTTTATCTTTAAAAAAATGGTATTCAATATATATTAAATTTTTTATAATTTTTTTTTAATGAAATTTTAATTTTTAAACTTTTTCACAACAAAATTAACCTACATTGTTTGACACTCGTCTTGTGTCCAAACAAACCGTTTCTTGTGTCCAGACTCTCTTATGCTCCTGTTCATCTCGTTTCAGCCTCCACTCGTAGAAAACAAGTAGCGCAAGGTCATCGACCAATCTCATTCTCGAGGTGAGGGAGTGTAACGACTTAGATCTACTGCTAGCATATATTGTCCTATTTGGGCTTTCCCTTTCGGGCTTCCCCTCAAGGCTTTAAAACGTAGAGGAAGGTTTCCACACCCTTATAAATGGTGGTTTGTTCTCCTCCCCAACCAATATGAGACATCACAATCCAACCTTCTTCGGGGCCCAACGTCCTCGCTGGCACTCTTTCCTTCCTCCAATCAATGTGGGACCGCCCCCAAATCCACCCCCCTTTGGGGCCCAGCGTCCTTACTGGCACACCGCCTCGTGTCTACCTCCCTTCGGGGAACAGCGAGAAGGCTGGCACACTATCCGATGTCTGGCTCTAATACCATTTGTAATGACCCAGATCCACCGCTAGCAAATATTGTCTTTTTTGGGCATTGTGATGTCTCACATTGGTTGGAAAGGAGAACAAACCACTATTTATAAGGGTGTGAAAACCTTCCCTACCAGACGCGTTTCAAAGCCTGAAATGAAAAGTCGAAGAAAGACAATATCAGTTAGTAGCGGACGTGGGTCGTTACAGGTAAATATCTAACAAATGCGAATATGAATATGAATATATATAATATATAAAAGGGTTATAAATAAAACATAAAGTAAATTGGGGCTGATCCAATTTAGGGTTTTGAATTGGGCCAAAAATTCAGAAATAATTATTTGAGCCCAAAGTATGAAGGAATTTTAATAATTATTTGTTAATTCATTACTAATAATTTCCTTTACAACCATAATCAGTGTATTTTTATTTTGTGTAGTAACGGCAAAGCTATGTAATTTATATTTTGATTAATTGTAATTATTACCATTTTACCTAACCTAAATATTACTGGCTACACCTACCATTATGTAAATATATATATTTCTACTTATTTAAAAATATTTTTACCTGGATTTTTACATAAATAATTTATTTCCTTTTTTATAATTTAAATATCAATTACTTAATTACAACTCGAAAAGTTTAAGGGTAGAATTGGAAATAATAATTATTACTATTATTTATTACAAAAAAAAAAAGAATTAAAGTCCAAAATTTGGGAGTGGTTCCAATATTTGTGAAGGGAAAAAGGGTTTAGTGTTGATTATATGAAAATAAAAATGTGAAACTTAGGCATCACAACTCATCCAAAGGCCCACATTTGTATGATTAATCCTTAAGCTTAGGGTTTTACATTTATTCTTTTTCTAATTTAATTATTTAATTAATTTTGTATTTTTATTTTCATTTTAGTTGTCCTGCCCTTAATTATTATGTTTGCTTCATCTTTAATCAATTTCTTCAACTGAAAGTTCCCAATAATTCTAAATATATATATTTTTTTTTGTAGACTTCCCTTTTTAGCCTTCAAATTTTTATTACTCATAATACAAAATAGCTTACCTCCTTATTTATTACTTTCATTTTTATTATTATTTTCTTTTTCCTAAATTATAATCCTTCGGTGGGATCTCAATGTTTCGAGCCCCTTTCTAGTTGATGTGGGATCTTACAATCCACTTTTTGGGGGCTAGCGCCCTTCGTTGGCACACTCTCCGCTGTCTTGCTCTAATATCATTTGGAACAATCCAAATTCACCGCCAGTAGATATTGTCATTTTTAAACTTTTCCTTCTAAAGTATTGTTAAAGATTTTAAAATAAGTCGGTTAGTGAGAGGCTTTCTTGTCTTATAAGTAATGATTTGTTCCCCTCTCCAGATAACTTAGGATCTCAAATTAAGGGGATGAAAGAGAAAAAAAATGAATTAATAAATATCCTACCTTTAGAGCTGACTTGGACCACACTGCCCTTGCTTATCTTCTACATGAAAAAAAGAAAAAAAAAAAAAAGTGAAATCCTTTTAGAAAATTTGAAAATTTATGGGGGTGGTCCTTGACTTTTCCACTAATCCAGTTCTTTATCTCTTTTCCTTTTCTAGCCAGTTTTGAATATTAATGTATTTTATGATTTACAAAACATTGCACACTACCTTATCATTAAGATCAAACAACAAAGATTTTACATAAAATAAGAACAAATCTGACAGTTCAAGATTTATCTCTATAATGGGTTTTCTTTGATTTTGTTCGTTTGTTCGTTGATTTGTTACCGGAGAATTTTGATTGGGTAATAAACACCAAAAGGGTATTGCTTGTTGATTGAAATGATTCATAGCAATATACCCAAAAGATGAATGTTTTTTTTTTTCTTTTTTCTGAAACAAAAAAGGCATTCAATAATGAAAAACTGATACGATCTGATGTGAATTGCGATATAAACTCGCAATCAAATCCAACCCCAAAAAAAAGGAAAAAAGAAAAAAAAGAAAGAAAGGGAGAGCGGGCAGGAATGAGTGAAATTAGTGAGAATCATGTGATTTACCACTCTTTCCCTCGCAACCCTCTTTCTATTTTCTCTCTCTTTTCTCTCTAATAGACGACTCTGTAAACGCCCCTTTTTGTTTGTTTTTTGTGTACCAGTTTCCATTTCTGAACGGTTTTAGAGTCTGAGAGGTTCTTCTTCGCCATCTGGGTTTTGGTTTTTACAATGGCTTCCACTGCTTCAAGGTTCATCAAGTGCGTTACGGTCGGAGATGGGGCGGTGGGGAAGACCTGCATGCTTATATGCTATACCAGTAACAAATTCCCCACTGTATGTTCTTCTTTTCATCAAAAGATTCATCTGGGTCTGCCTTAATCTTAACGTTGTCTAAGTTTCTCCCCATCTTCTCTGCTGCTTATTCTTGTGTTTTTGTTCCGTATTTCTCATGATTTTGGGTTTTTTCTTGGGGGTTTCTTTTAATTTCTTGTCCATGTATGGTTCTTGTCTTCAGATTGTCGTTTAATTCACAGTTGTTCTTGCTTGCTATGATCACAATTGCCTGTGTTCTTCAAACAGAAAGCATAATCAGTTGTGTTTATCAGGATTACATTCCCACGGTGTTTGATAACTTCAGTGCAAATGTGGTGGCTGAAGGCACCACTGTCAATTTAGGCCTCTGGGATACAGCCGGTACTATAACTCCTTCATTGCCTTAAACCAAGCATTCAAGTTGTTGTATCATCTGTTCATAGAAATTTTAGAATATTCAACTTGGTTTTGGTCATAATAATGCATATAGGTCAAGAAGATTACAATAGGTTAAGGCCATTGAGCTACAGAGGAGCTGATGTTTTCATCCTTGCCTTTTCGTTAGTTAGTCGAGCGAGTTACGAAAACGTGCTTAAGAAGGTGATTAACACAAGCTTTTTTCTCTACTATGCTCTATCATCTTCATGTTTGCAAGTAGGAATTTCTGATGGTTTGGTTCTTGATCAGTGGATTCCAGAGCTTCAACATTATGCACCTGGAGTCCCGGTGGTATTGGTTGGCACCAAACTGGGTAGGCCATCCTTTTCTGATTGTAGTTGACTGTAGGTAGCTATTGGTTGTATTTGTTTCAAACTTTCTTCTTTTTTCTTCCTTTCTTTATCCACTAAATGAGGTACGCAACCAAAGAAAACGTTCTCTCTTTATTCTTTTTTCCTTTTCATTTGAATTTGTTGAAAATAAGGTAGGAGGTGAGAAGAGGCTACCTAAACTAGGAATGCTTGCAAACAAGAAAGTCCTTGACAACAAACCCTTTTGTTTAGAGTACTTGCGGGCCCTTGTGGGGTTTGGATGTGAGTTCCGGTTCACGCCCTCAAGCGGAATGCTGTTTAATTAAGGAAAAACTTCATTGTCGCTTGGATCTAGTTTAGGATGTGTGGAGTCTCTCCCGCTCGTGGGATAGGGTTGATACTAAGAGATTTATAAAGATGTGGTGCTTGCAATGTTTAAATTGTTGAGAGGACTAGCATATGTTGTGACAACCCAAGTCCACCACTAGCAGATATTGTCCTATTTGAGCTTTCCCTTTTGAGCTTCCCTTCAAGGTTTCTAAAACGCGTTTGCTATGGAGAGGTTTCTACACCCTTATAAAGAATGTTTTGTTCTCCTCCCCATCCGACGTGGGATCTCACAATCTACCTCCCTCAAGGACCAAGCGTCCTCGTTGACACTCGTTCCCTTCTTTAATCAACGTGGGACCCCCCAGTCCACCCCCCTTCGGGGCCCAACGTCCTTGCTGGCACACCGCCTCACGTCCACTCCCCTTCGGGGCTCAGCCTCCTCGCTGACACATCGCCCAGTGTCTGGCTCTGATACCATTTGTAATAGCCCAATCCTAGTGCTAGCAGGTATTGTCCTCTTTGGGCTTTCCCTTTCGAGCTTCCCTTTAAGGTTTTTAAACGTATCTGTTAGGGAAAGGTTTCCACACTCTTATAAAGAATGCTTCGTTCTCCTCTCCAGCCGACGTGGGGTCTCACATATGTACTTGCAAATGAGTTAACAGTTTGCAGTAGGCCAAATAATATTACTAGTAGTAGGTGCTGCACAGCATGGCCAGAAGGAAAGAAGAGCTACTCAGGTTCTTCCAAGAGACTCTTTACCTTGCCACTGTGAGCAAAAATGCAAAGAGTTTAGCATCTAATTATTGTTGAGAATTGAGATGTGGGCCCGTTTTAAGTGATTGTTTAATACCTTTT